AGATGAGGTGATCCTACATGCTCCTGTCCTCTAATTCTTGACGAAGAGCGGTTGCAATCGTCTAATGGTACAATGGGGACCCTGATTCCAGGATTCGGCAGGATCATCCGACCTTGTTTGGCGAACCACCTCTGCAGATCGGGATGCTGCGAGCTCCGGATCCGGGGAGGGTCCCTAGAGATGGACCTCGCGGGTCCCTCCCCTCTTCGGGGTGGCGGGTCAATGCGATCTCGTGACTCAGCACCGAGATCGTCTCCTGGGACTCATCTTTTCCGCCTTAGAAGCCGCGCCGCTGACAATCGACTCGGCAGGACCGCAGGGAAATATTTGGGAGTTTGCACCGACGCGCACAGAGGAGCCCGACCTATCTGTGAATATCGACCGGCTGAGCGATCGCTCCCTGAAGAGCTCCCGATCGAGATTCGATTGGCGTGTCGATTGCTTTCGAAATGTTTTGACTAGACCCGCCGGTACGAAGGAGCGGACACGAATCGTTCCTCGATCGATCATCCCTCCTGGCAGCGAACGACGTCCTCGGCGCCAATATAAACTTCTCGGGGAATTGATTCCATTAAAGACCAATAATCATCGTTTATCCGCACACGTTGACGCGATAGGCCGGAATTAACTCCGCGGCCACGAATCTGAGAAATGGAGGCCCGACAAAAAGTCCTGTACCCTACTAAGTGATTCCATGGACGATCGATAATCGACCTGGCGAAGATCGGAGATAATGCAGGATCGTTTCGTCACCTCGGATAAAGTATTCTCCTGGAACTCTGGGATTTATCTCCTCTTTTGCCAGCTCCATCGACAGAGGTGGCGGGAAGTGCCCTGTCGGCCAGACCATTCCCAGCTCCCAGTTCATTAAAACGCCGGATTCGCGAATCGGCACTTTCAAGTTCCCACCCAAACCCCCAACGATCGAGTTCCGACTGGATTACTTAATAAACCGGCGAAAGAGATGAATCGCGACGGTTCCTCCGCCCCCGCGACCTTTTTCGAGCACGTTATTAAAACTTTACTAATGGGCAATAATATCGTATCGCGGCTCGCAGATTGATATTAAATTGCGAACCGGTCCACTCGGCTCATTTATCATTATCACAGGGCGCGGCCGCTAGCCGTGGAAATTCTTCGATTGCGAATTTACGAGATGAATTCGCGAAGAGGAAACTTTCCCATAATACTAGAACATGAAATAGTGAAAAAAAATCCCAAATATAAAATTATCAAAGCAAATACTCGAAGAGTAGTTTCGCCACTTATAGTCGACTCTGGGTGGTAAGAAATTGCCAAAATTCGAAAATTTCATTCCCCGACTCGGGGCCATTGGGGGAGGGAATTTCGTGGTTTTCGGAGTTTACCTCGTAATATATCGAGAATCTAGGATCCGAAATAAGTTGGTAAGTTCCGCTCAGAGGACGGCTCCAGAGATCGGGGCAGAGGGTCCTGTCGTGCCGGGGTGACCGGGGAGCCGGCAAAGTTGGCTGTGGGAGTAAAAGGGGGTGTCATGCCGGCGTACCGGGAGAAGTGATTGATCGTGTTTCGCCGGAAGAGAAGAGAAACGAAGAGAGCAAAAGAGAGCGACCAGGGGGTGGCGGAAGGGGCGGAGGGGGAGGGGGAGGGGGGGAACTCCGGGAGCACTAGGATGATAGAGACGAGGAGAGGTTGGTCCGCAAAACGAAGAGAGAACATCCCCCGGCCGCCCTTACCTCGCCGTCACCTACACCCTTCATCCCCTGGACTTGGCCAGATTCCACTCAAACGGCGCCTCGCTCTTCGGGGACCTCGCCGGACAAAAGAGAAATAGACAAATATGGCGGCCGAGTCCGGATGCGAGGAGGCGCGAAAAACCTACCCCGTTGGAACAAAAACCAGGTGACGCGCTCTCAGCCCTCCCGAATTGGCTCTCTCCGGGTCTCCTCCCGATCGTGTCGAGGGCCGCCGAGGGGGATGAAGATCGAGAAGGGGATGACGAGGGTGGAGTCCGGCTCCGTCTTTTCCTCCCGGCTCTCGGATGCGGAAATAACCCCTGAAGACGTCACCGCAGACCCTCCTCGCCCCGAACTGCAGGGGCGAAACTTTCTTCCGCGTTCGCCGATGGAATCGTTATAAATTGCGGCAAGAAGGGTGGCGAAGGATCCTGGGGACTGTTTTGGAGGAAAGAGGAATGGATGATGGCTGAAACTCGATGGGGGTGAATTAAAAGACGAGAAGGACGCGAATTAAATATCGGGAGGTCCTCTTCGAGGTGAGTTAATGGGTGTTATCCGAGCAATGGGGATGAACAAGAAGGGAAATGACACTTTCTGTCGCTTTTTCGATCCCGGAGATTTTTCATCCAAGATCTTGACGAAATCGTTATAAATCGTGGATGCGCCTCGGGCGAAAAATAAATATACAAATATGGCCGCCGAGTGCGGGGGATGAATGAGTCCTGACTTAGCTTGCAAAAATTGTTCCTCGAAAGATAAAAACCGGAAAAGGCGTTCTCGGCTCTTCCGAATTGGCTGTCGAGGTCTTCCGATCTGTCCGGGCGCGTCGGGGGAGGAACACCGAGACGGGGATGACGAGGGTGGAGACCTCGGCTCCATCTTCCCGTCGGATCTCGGTTTCCGGATATAACGAAAGGACTCCTCGAGACGTCCCCACATCCCTCTTTCTCTCGACCGCGAGCGGAGGAAGCGGAACTTTTCCCCACGTTCGCGGACGGAATCGTTATAAATTGTTGCTACCAGAGTAGAGGGTCGAAAAAACTTGAAGACACTAAAGAATCGCTCAGACCTCCGGCCATTTACGAGGTTCCTCTTCAACGTGCGTACGCGCAATCTTGCTTCCTGAATTAATATATTTTTAATTGTTCGGCAGAGATTTCATTTCCAAAACCAAGTGCTGTATAATAGGAGACGCGTGAACGATAACTTCGTCCTTCTACCCTGAGACAAAAAGATGTCATTAAACCTAACAAGTGTTTCGTTAATTCAAAGAGTAATTATTTGACTAGAATGGATTGGAGGTGACGTTTCTTCGAAATAATGACAATTTATTTGAATCCGTTTGAGCCAAATCCTGACTCTTGGATTAACAAAATATTTCTTTGGCCCTTCTTTGGCTCAATGAATTTTTTTTTTTTCTCAGGGTGGGTATTAGGGTAATAATTGTAGCAAGGATAAGAAGCCCCCGCTTAATTCCACACGGCTTGCTGCGTCACAGGACTAATGCGAGGCCAAGAGAGTTCCGGATTAATCGATCGCTCCTGCAGCCCGGAAAAATGGCCCCCGAAGGAGGCTTGTTTGCTTAACTCGTGTCCTCTTGTAATTCCCGGCTATCGGCGCAAAGGAAAAACTTTATTGTATTACTGTGTCACAATAATCCAGGGTGAGTGTGCTCTTTGCGTAATGACGCTGCGTTTCGTGCCCCTCGGCTCGCCATAGGCGGACCGTACTCGCCGGGGCGCGAAAAGATGAAGGAACACCTCTCGAAAGTTAACGACCACGATCTACATTATTTTTAATAACACGCAACAACATACCCGACCCCAAATAAAAGCGCAAAAAAACATCTCAAAAACCGCAAAAATGGACCCTGAAAATCAACATCTCCCACCGTGCGAGACTCAATATTTCAATATACCCTTACATGTTATATTGCCCCAGGTCACGATTATCCTTTCGAAACATCACGGAGAAATTCAAGATGAAAATTATAAGAATGTCACAATTATCCTTCCGCAACGTCTCGAAGATAATTCAAGAGGAAATGTAGAAAAATGGGAATTCTCAGCGCACCAAGCCACGTATTGATTACCAGGGTACCCAAATAACAATAATGGTAAAAGAAAATTCGCCCGCGAGTTTACCGAATAACCTAACGTAACACCATGCATATCCTCCTCGGTATTCCTCGTTGCTGCGTTAAGCAATCCTTATTCCGGCATCGCGTTTCCCCCGCGGAAGGAGCCAGCCCCTCAAGGATGCCGGGTCCTTTGTCTCGAGGCGTCTCGGTTGGTCCCGAGTGCCGAAACCGCGTCGAGGGGGCAAAGGGGGCGGGCAGAGGAGAGTCGTAGGAGTGGGCTCGCTCCAGAATCCAGGATCCAGAAACCCTGATCCAGGCTCCGGGCTCGCAGGGGTTGGCCTCGCGCTGGTCCCGGCTGGTGGGGGTTCCGGGGCGTGGGGGAACGGTGTCGGTAGCGGCGGAGCCGTCGGCGCGGCGCGCCGGGAGGGAGCGCGATCCAAACGGAGTGGCCAGACGAGTTCGTGCCTTCGGCCCCGAGAGCTCGGTCCGCGTCTCGGTCCCGCACGTTCCGACTCCTATCGCGCCACGAGCCCGAGAAACCGCGGGAAGTGCGTCCAAGAGGTCGAGTGTCATCGAGGGGGCCAGGTGCGGTGCGTCGCGGGGGGTCTGGAGCCCGGAGAACGTCGATACTCGACATGTCTCGATGATCGGCCTACCTCGGTACAGCGAGAGACAATCGCGGCATCACCGGGAAGACCCGGTTCCTCGGGAGTCGTCGGGGTGGGCGGTCGAGTGGAACTCGAAAGGGTCGGGTGCGAGCGGGGAACTCTAACGCGGAGTTCCGGGCGAGTGCTGGGTTCCGGTAGTTGGCGCACCTGCCGCGGCGGTCCCGCGGCGCCAGCGGTCCGCCGGCCATCCATCATGGACGCGGCCGCGGGCCGGCTCTGATTGGCCAGCCGCGGTCACGTGGCATGGTAATTGGGCACCAGTGGGCGGGAACCGCAGCTCGGTCGGTCGTGGTCGAAGGAGCCCTCGCGTCGGGCAGGAAGACGGGCTGAGGTCCCACCGGGCTCGGCGGCCCTGGGGGAGAGTCGAGGCTAGGACGCGACCGGCAGACCAGGAAGGACGGCGGGAAGAGTCGACTCCTGGACGCGCCCGGGGAGGCGGAGCGATGCGAGGGGCCGCGTAGGGCGCGACCTCCCTACCGCCAAGGGATCGCCCTGGGTGCACCTCGGCTCACCTAGGTAGAGAGACGAGGCAGCATGAGCTCCTTCCTGATGAACCCTGCGTCCGCAGGTGGCGGGTACCACCAGCAGCACCAGCAACCTTCGGCTGCTCACCACCTGGCCGCCGCTTCCGTCGTCGTGGACCCGAAATTTCCCCCCACCGAGGAGTACAGTCAGAGCAACTACATCCCCTCGACGGGCGCCGACTTCTTCGGGGGAGGGCATCACCTCAATCATCCACAGTCCCATCAGCTGCAGTACGGCTACCATCAGCACCACCACCAGGCGGCGTCCACCCCGTACGGGGCTACGTCCGCGGTGCAGCTCAACGGCGGCTATCCAGGGTACGGGGGCTACTACGGACCCCATCATCCCCATCACCAGGTACACGCGGTGCACCATGCCACCCTGCATCCTCATCACCACGCGGTCGGAGCTCTCGCCATGCCTCCCGAGGCCCAGCAGCCTCCTCTCGCGTGTCCACCCTCGATGCACCCCCAACAGCAGCCTCAGCCACCTCCGACCACCACCCCCAGTGTGCTGGGATCTACCGCCCTCTCTCCCTCGATCGGGCCCAGCCATGTGCAGCAACCCGAGCATCAGCACCAGCCCCAACATCAGCAGCATCCGCCGCCGCCACCCCAGCAACCGCAACAACACGAAAACGTCTGCAGCCCCGCTGGCTCCGGTTCCCTGCACCGGGATAACTCCCCGGATCTGCAGCAGCAACAGCCCTCCCAACACTCTCAGCATCTTCAGGCTGCTCCCCAGCAGCAGCAAACGCATCTGGAGGATGGCTCCGACCAGGACGACATGGAGGATGATCAGATGATGGACGGGTCTCCTGGCATGATGGAAGAGGATGAAGATGACGAGGAGAACGGGGATCGTGTCATCTACCCATGGATGAAGAAGATTCACGTTGCCGGTGTTGGTAAGTTGACAAGGAGCTGCGGTACTTTTGAGAACTGATGGTACTTGATGGACGTACTCGTTAGACCGATGATTGCACGATCTTGGCGATCGGAGAACCTGGGACTCGATGGGGTTCCGCGGTTTCCAGGGTCCTGGGCGTGGTTGGCTATCCTTTACGTTACATGGAGAAATGGAACTGGCTCCGATGTTTGCACCACTCCTTGATCAAACTAATTGATGACCAATGAACTGCAAGGCTATCTTCTAAGCGACCAGTTTTCAGACCAGATGTTTGGTGATCCCAGATGACCATGTCGGCCACTTATTGGATCTCAATACCGCTTGAATTTAATGCTTAAGAGATTGTACGCTCGATTGGAGTCAAGTTGAATCTCCTCGAGCAATCGTTATCCTTGCGACATTGGATCGTGGACCCATTGTTCTCGTGGGTCCGTTGGATGGCCCTAAAGCCTTGTCTTTACCGATAAACCCGTTAATACTAGGTACGGATAGAAATACAAATCGACAATCCGCTGGCTTTGAACTCCTGACTCGTTGTAGAATCGCGGTGAAAGGGAAAAGGAAACCCACAGTTGCGACTCGCGATCCGGTCGAAGTTCCGTCGGCAAACTGTGAGCTGGGACCAACTGGCTGCCGATTACGATTGTATCGGCAGATTGGAGCAACGTTTGACGCAAGGTGGAGGGAAAAAAAGACCGCTCGGGAGATAGAAAGACCATGGGACGCTTCTGGGAATCACGCTGGATGGGTGACGGATAGGTACTTCATGACGAATGGTGAGCTCCGGTCCTTGAGCCTGGAACCTGCCGACGCTCCTTGGAGATAAATGAGGGTTTCCATTGTCGGAGTACCAAACACCTTACATGTCGAATTCCACGGAGTGCCTCGTCCTAGGACGGATCTGCTTGGGGATTGGAAAGACATATGAGTGCCCGAAACCTTCGGTGCACTTTGTCCTCACCTGCCTGGCGCAGGTCCCGAATTGGATACGAGTTATCCTTCATTCGATTCCTTCGGAATACCAATAATTTAATTGTGTCTTCTTCAAAATCAACGTGCATACATGTGCATGAGATCCAAAGAAAAATAAGTTACCAGGGAATCGATGGCTGGATTACTTGGTATGGGGGTTGGTTGTCTCTTCTAGTCCTGGTGAGGATCAGACTGGATGTTTCTCCTATGATCGGACGTATGGTGATCCGTTCTCAGGATCTTTAGATGTTACTTCTTGTTCTCAAGCATTGTGTAGATTCGGGATAGGACTTGACACTCGTGAACTCTTTGGGTGCTGGGTATTCAGCGCGGAATTCCTTCGAAATTGGACATTTTCGTGGGAATCGATGGCTGCCGGAACGCGGTAACTTTGATTAGAGCTCGTGGTTGGTCCAGGGTCCTGGGTCGGAGGAACCCTACCATGCCGAACATGGTTCGGGCCACGGTATGCACGTCCGCTGGACCGCCGCAATCTCCCCTCTGGATGTCGACGCCAACCGGAGGTGGACGCCGGAGGAGGGACGGCCAGTGGTCAGCTTTGGAATGGAATGCGTCTGCACGGATTCTAAACTATACTCGGCAAGACGCTTCGACGGGATTCACCAGGACCACCAGGAATCCCGTCTGGTTGCCAGTCGACCGACGCGATGCCTAGACCCGACAATGGGTTAGCGATTCGACGCCAGCTCGATGTCCCTCTGGTACCCATGGGTTACCGTTTTACTTACACCGTAATGAACACTTAAACGATCGCTCGTTATCAAAAATGGTTTCAATTCCTAAGCGAAATCAAGAGTACCGAGATATCATTGACCGGAAGAGCATTGAAATGGATCTTCTTCATAGTCCCAACCCTATTCCGCTTCAAGCCGCACAATTGTGGCGTCATCCGCCGTCCTGATCTACTCTTGACCTCGAACTCCACTCGCATTTGACCATTCCAATTAAACAATCAAGGGACCCGGCCAGTGGCTTAGAATTCGGTCTCGCTTCTGGCTCTCGGAATGCCAACCACCGGGGAAGTTTTTTCACCGGTTGTTCCTAGATGCGCTGTGCGAGTATTTAACGCGGCTGATAAAGCCTATACGGGAGACCGAGCAAACCGCACGACTGGTAAACCGATCGGCCTTGAAACTGGTCTACTGGCATATACCGAGCTGCTATTGCATACATTTCGAGACAGCCAACCGTGGATTTTTGCCGCATGCGTGCCCGGACGTAGGTTCTTTGTTTTTGCTGGTGACGAGGTAGAAAGAGCGCTGAACACGCGCCGGGCAACGTTGTCGAAGCGATACCTTCTTGTCGGGGAACAGAATGAAAATCGAGAATATAACCGACGCAAAAACGTGCGTTTCCATGTCTGCCGAGCGAGGAGTAAAAGAAGGTTATGGAGGTAATCGGAATTAATTGAAAGGGTGGAGGGAACCTCCAGGGATAAAGGCGAGGCGCCGTTCCCACGGTCTTACCTGTATTAATGGAAAGAAAATGGAGAACACGTGTTTTCATTTTCACGGGGACGCGTGTTTGAGCTGTATAGAGATTTAGACCGATTTCTGCGGTTTCTTCGATGGCCTAGTCTTGACTACGAAGGGAAACGAACGCGCGCAGAAGTGGCTAAAGAAGAGGGCGAAGCATACCACGCCGGTGATCTCATTATCTCGGTCAATTTTTTTACCATTTTTTCATACTCACTCGGCGGTCATTGTTGGCGGGCACGAGTTTAGCAATCTTTTGTATCCCGGAGTTACACGTGCGGATGTGGCGACACGTGGATCGCGGGAATCGAATCGCTCCGGTTCGCGGGGATAAAAAAAAATGATGGGCGATCGTGATTTTACGCGGATAGAGAGACGAACCGGCGCTCACGCGCAAGTCGATCGCCGATTACAACTCTCGTACAAAGGCCGCGTACCGAGACTTTGGCTCGAGTGGCAAGTAGAAAATGATGTAATTGCTTTTTTCCCAGACGGCCGCGCGTTCTGCCGAGAAAAAAAAACTAGTCGAGATGCGTTACGGTGTTAATCATCAGAGACACTTTCCGCGCCACTTCGGAAAAAGCAGACCGATTAATTTTTCGAGTTAAGACGAGGAAATCTATGAAATCGAGTGAATTCGGGGAAAAGATCCGAGGCTAGGTGTGATTTTATTGTAAGACTCGATTTTATAGAGTGCGCAGGGTCTGAGTAAATTTCCATGCATTTTCATCCGCCGTCTGCGTTATTATGTATCTCGTACGTCGTAGATGCCTAGAGACTCCTCTTAGAGGTAGGGAAGTCTTGCTTCGTCAGGGTATAAGATATGTCATCTTTCTGTCCAGCAAACGGCTCGTACCAGCCGGGGATGGAGCCGAAACGACAGAGGACGGCGTACACGAGGCACCAGATCCTGGAGCTGGAGAAGGAGTTCCATTACAACCGGTACTTGACGAGGCGAAGACGCATCGAGATCGCGCATACGCTGGTGCTCTCGGAGCGGCAAATCAAGATCTGGTTCCAGAACCGGCGGATGAAGTGGAAGAAGGACAACAAGCTGCCCAACACGAAGAACGTCCGGCGGAAAAACGCGAACGGCCAGTCGACGCCGGCGAAGCCGCCGAAGGGTGGAGGATCGAGGGCCAAGTCGGGGAACAATTCGGGGAACAACAACAATCAACGCAAGAACAACAATTCGCCGTCCAGCGGGATGGAGAGCAGCCTGGACGGCAGTGTCGGGCTGGACCTGGGAGAGGTGCACGTCGGTGCTGGGATCGCTCATCAGCATCCGACGCATCCCAGCTTCCAGGGTCATCCGCATCCCCTGGGTCATCTTCAGGCCCAGCTGAGCCATCTACACGTAGGAGGCATGATGGAAGGAGCCACCGGTCCCCTGGGCCACATGGCCTCTGGCAGCATCAGTCCTCTGGCTCCTGCGACGAGTCCTCCAGGACTCTCCGCTCCCGTGGTGCCTCCACCGGCAGTGAAGTCCGACTACGGTCTCACGGCCCTGTAACACCAACATGGACCCGCTTCACCCGGAGCCACTCCGCAGAACTTCTTCCCCTCGCAGCTTCCTTGTCGCCTGGACGTCGCTATTCACGACCTGGGGTGACGAGGACCCGGGACTCGCGAGGGAGTGTGGAACTCAAGAGACTCTGGACCAACGTCCGAGCGTCTGAGCTTAAATCAAACTAGAACCCGTCTCCGAAAGCGTCCCAAATCGCGTCTTCGAGGTTTCCATCGAGACCTCTGGAACGAGATCGTCGGACTCCGTGCCGGGGCTGGACCCGGACCACCCTCTCCAAGATTTCGCGCCTCTTCCAGTCGGACGATCCTCGTGGAGCTGCACGACGGTGCTCTTCGGGGTTGCTCTTGGAAGACCAACTTCCTCCAAATCGTGGACGCTTCTCGCGTCTTCGCGTTGGACCGCCATTGGAAATTGTGGTACTTGGAGTCGCGATTCTGGAGCGGAAATACCCGAAGATGTCGCTGACGGGTCGCGGTGTGCTCTTGAGCTTCGGTTAAAAGTTCGAGTAGGTTCAGCGGCGACCTTCTACCTCCAGCACGAGGTAGCCTCTCGAGGTGGGTCGGTTTATTCTTTACATTATAATCAAATTCTCGAGTCGTAACTCATAACCGAATAATTGTTAATTATCGTTTACGTGCCATTAGGTAGGTGGTAATGCGTTTCGCTTGTGGAAGTCATTGTTGCCGGAGTACTCGGAACCTCTCGTTACATGAATTACTCGATGTTTTCCGAATTCCGATGCCGTTACTCTCGGACGTGGCGGTTTCCGTTCGAGAGGTGTTCTTTGTGGCGGCCGGCAGGAATTAAGCCGCGATTATGGTCCCCTTATCGGCCATGTGTCGGGTTTAAATGTCGATTCCATGGAAAATGACCGTGGATGGTACTCGCTCCTGCCATGTAAATACGTCCTGGGAGGTGCGCGTGTATATAATTGTAAAGAAAATACCGCCGTAGGACATACGAGTCGTAGTGTTTTACGTTGGTTACGTTTCTGTATGTAAGTGTGTGATTTCTAATGCGATAAGTCCGTAATTCTCGATTTTGAGTCGCCGCCGAGGGAGAGTCTAGGATAATCACCGAGCCTCGTCGAATGCCCGGAGAAAGGTGTCCACTTTTTACGTTTCCTTTAGTAAGAAGAGGAGGCATTAATGTAGGGTAGACATTGACGCGAATTAACAAGGTACGAATCACTTATGGCAGGTTAATTGCTACGCCTCTCGCCGTTTCTTCCGAATCACTTCTACGCGCAATCAATTTATTTCAAAGGTCGGAGTCATTTATCACCCCGCTTTTCTCGGAAGACACACCGTCCACTTGCTGGGAAAAATCTTGGTCGATCGTTCGCTAACCACGTGCGCTTTAAATACCTTTGTATCGGCGAATCGATAATAATTCCTACAAATTATTTAAATGATTCCTCTTTTTACCCTCGGACTCAATTTACCCAGTGACCGACACACTGGAGAACTTTTTTCCCGTAAATTCTCAGGTCGGATAATTTTTATGATTTATATTCAGCGCCAGTTTGAGATGGTTAAGATTTTAATAAAAGTAACAGTGTAGACAATGGCGGACAGAATTCCGAGCCTCGTCTTAAGGCATTTTGTAAATACGATCTGGAAAGTGTACATCTATTTTTATCGAGTGAAGGCATAAAGAATGACCAATACGATTAGGGTATCTACGTTGTTTCGATGACACACCGACTGTATTATTAAGAGAGTAGAAATCAAACGATTCATGCACAGAGTCGCTGTGACGATATACCAAAACAATACTAACTATACAAAGTAGCCCGTAAGCGGACAGTATAATTAGAGAGAGGTCAATCCTAGGCGAGAGTTAGATTAATTATTAGCGCCGGTAACGAATAGGTGTAACGACGACACTTCACGTATATGTATATAGCCTGTATCATAAAGATACACAGCCGGACACGCGACAGTGCTTGTGTTTATATTGACTATAAAGATGACCGATCGTACAGTAAATACATTACTAAATAAATGTTTCGTAATTTACGACGACGCCATCTTTTCCAGCCCCCTCATCCCTATTAATTTCCGAATGAGAAGCCAACGGAAAAATCGAAACGTTTGAAATAACCCAAGTACTCGAAACTCACAATTTCGGCAGATTTCAAACCAACACTTATAAAAACCTAAAAAGTACGATCTATTGATCTTCTTAAAAAAAAAAAAAAAAATGTATCCGTTTCTTTAAGGTGATAAGAATATTCCTCGGTATTCCAGGGGTGTCTGGCCTTATCGCAACCCCAGGCGCTGTCAACCGAAGAGATGAACCTAACCTCAACTCGCGCGACGCCTAAAAACTCCGAAACTGGAATTAAAACCCTTATCCCTCCATCCTTTCCAACCCTAATTCAAATTGCGATTCCCTCCTACAAATTCCCCGTCAAGATTATTTAATAGTTACAAAACGCTTAAATAAATCGACAGTAATCCCGCCGCATTGTCACCAAATTAACCTCATCGCGACCCACTGTATCAAGTAGGAAAAAAATGACTCTGCCACAGCCAACCCTAACCTCTAAAGATCCCCGTAAAAATAAAATTTCTAATCGTTAGATTCAATTGCATAAAAATGAATGTCCCGTTAACGAGTACGAGCGATTCGTAATGATGTAGGTTTATGAGAAACCAGATAATTGCCAACCGGTGGGTTCACCCAATTTTCAAAATGCAAATTCAGTATCCACGCTCCTATCACTTGGCGTTATCGCGACCACGGGGCGGCGTCGCGCCGCGCGACGCCTCTCGTGCGGTCGTGGGTCGTGCGTACGTGCGTACGAGTGCGTGTGTGTCATGGCCGCGTGCGAGCTCGGCGGCTCCGCAAGAGGGTGGCTCCGGCCGAGCGAATGGGAGTCCGCCATCGCCCTGCCTCCGCCCATGAAGCGGCCGGCCCGGGACGCCCCGCGCAGCGAGTCCGCGCAGCGCCGGCGGCCAGCTGCAGCGGCCTCCTGCACCGCGCCGTCTTGCGCCACACGGAGATCCCTCTTCGCCGGCGAGAATGCGGAAGGAGCGACCCTAGACCCAGAGGAACTCTTCGCAAAGCCGTACGCTCTTTCCGATGCGGATTATCGGCGATCTTGCAATCGATAGCGGCGTGAAATGGGTAATGGTAAAAAGGAGTCATAAATAGCGACAACTCCTCTTGCATATATCGGAAAATTTATCAATGGGTATTTATTTCTTAATGGGCGGCAGAGGTCCTCTCAAAATTCATTTGGCAGTGGATACAAGATTCCGATGACAGGGTGAAATATTAGAACAGTGTTCGATAAAAAGGGACAGGGTGATAAGGAGAACGTGAAATTGTGGTAACGGCGTAGTTTGGGTTATGTGTATGTTGAGAATTTGGGCTTGATGGTGTATGCTCGTATTTGATGGTTAAAGCTCCGACTCGTCTCTTTTTTTATACGGGGATAAAAAGTGGTAAGAGTGTTCGATAAAGAGCCGATAAGAAAAATAGGCCTCGTGGAATTAGCTAGCTTCGGGCTGGTTCCAGGCCGCGTATCGATCCAGGGTGGTCTCGCTTTCTTTTACAAAAAGCCTGTTAATTATCACCGGGCGGAATCTTAATTGCACTCGTTATCTGGGACCGCGAGTCCAGGAACCCCGCGGGGTTATCACTCGTACAGGCGCGAGTACACCTTGCCGCTCGATACACCTGGTCCGCGCGCGTCCTGGCGGGATTCTACCTTGCAACGCCACCGACAGGAGTCTAGGATCCCAGGGAATAATGGGGCAGGCTGGCGGGTAATCGACGTCGACTTCTGGACCTACCGGAAGGAAGCAACGAAGGGTATTAATTACAAGAACAAGGCCCTGACCCGTGCAACTCCAGCTTCCGAGAGGTACATCGTTCCAACGAGCTCCAAATTTATCGATCACTCGAGGAGCCCTCGTACGTCGGTCGTTAAATCTTTTAAAACAATTTTTATAATCGCGCCGATGTTCCTTAAAAGTATTGACAAATAGCCAGGCACCGTCTAAAATTTTGCGAATCATCCCAACATTTAATTTCATTTACCGGATAATGTTTCTAGGATACCGAAATTTCCCGTTCGGGCGGATCCTTCCTCCGTCCTGAAAGAAACCTCGAAGGACCCTCTTCCGCGTATCCGCGAGGATTCGCGCACGTCCCTCGAAACAAATGATGGCCTCTCGGGCGATTCCATCCATATCCGGTCCGCAATCGTTCGATCTACATACTGGGCGACGCTGGACGTGAGATGGGTGGTCGCCGTCGCAGAAGTCCCGGTCCCGATGAGTCCCAGAACAAGAGAACCAGAGGTGTAGGTGCCCCTCGTCCCCTTGCCCGTCCTCCTGGCCTGTCCGGACCTCGACCACACGCGTAGTCCCTCCACGACCCCGTCGACGCCTCTTCTAGGTGCACTTCCACCGAGTCCCGGAATTCCCAACAACGAAAATCGTCGAAAGTGAGCGCCGACGATCTCGATGGGGTCGGAAGTCGAAAGGGGGCCTCCAAAAATAGTGGACTCCCACGAGTCCCGCCGCGAGGGATCCCATTAAATGTAATTGGGAAGGATTAACGAGTCGCGACTCCATTTATCAGACCTCGTAATTACGAAGCATCCCTCTGGAACGTCCTACCCTCGCGGGTCTCTCGCTTCCGCGACCCCCGACCCTCTCGTCGCCGACTGACTGACATCCCCCAAGGACGATTCCCCGAATTTCGAAACGCGAGCCGTAAGTAACGCCGATAACGTCGTAACGGGGTGGGCGATATCGGCCCTCCGGATCTAGGCCGAAAATCTCTAGAAACCGTTAGGGAAAATTTCAATACGAAATCACGAGCCAGTTACCCCACAACGAACACCCACGATTCCAGTCCCAGGTGACCGAAGTGATCACAATTCTCATCCTAGGGTCATCTCCCAATATGGAGAGCCGAAAGGGTCCGTCTCGAAGCATCGCATTCGCGCTACTAATTTCAAGTAT